TTCCCCCTGTATCTAGGAATGTGGAAGGCCGGTTATATATGTCACAGGTCATGAGCTCCTAGTAATGAATAAGAAAAAAATCCTGTTTATCACTTCCAGAGTCAGTCTCAGTGTCACAGCAGAAAATCACATCAACTACTTGACACACAACATTGCTGCAGAAAATCCATATATATAAATACCTCAGTCCATTCAGGTTCTTTTCCCAATTTAGGTTTAGATGACTGCACAGGATAGAGATTTTTACCTTTATCCATTTGTACTTTTATCTAAAACTTATGTTCACTTCATTTTTATAATACCATGTACTTAGGTTCTCAAAATTTTAACTTCTTATCCAAAGAGGATCTCTTTAATATTGAATATTTTACCTTGTTCAATTACTGGAAATTATTTATTTATTACTTAGCTTGGGCTGAATTTTTTCTCAACTGTGAAATGATCCACTAGGCAATCATATTACTAATATGCAAAAAGTTCTATTTCAATTACCAAAGCAAATGAAACCTATGATTATTAAGAAAACTGCTTTGCATATCAGTCATTGTTTATTTCTGAACACAATCAAGTACCACAGGCTAGATTAAACGCTTAAGGATACGGATTTTTTTCTGTGTGATTTACAATATAAAAGTAATCAAACCTTCCCACCAATCTAGGTGAGTGGGAAATGTAATTACTAGTAGTTATCATTAAAACAAAGACATGGCAATTTCCTGTACACAGAATTGAATATTCCAGAAGTAAATTTCTGAGGAGTTCTCAGGAAAAAAATATATTTTTAAATTAATGTTAACCTGGTTATTTCGCTTGTTGTGTCTCAGTTGCTAACACAGAATAAGCAACACATTTGGGGGATATACTTAAACAGCAGCAAGTAAAAGGCTATTCTCAGGAAAATCACAGAACTTTGAGCTTAAGGCTGAGTAATTTATTACAGTTTGAATCTTTATGCAAACACAACCAAACTTAATCCCCTGAAGCTGTTCCTCCATGAGAGGTTTCACCCCAATTGGATCCCCTCTCCAAATGCTGAATCCTACAGAAATCAACTGCTCCTATTCTAGGGCTCCATTGCCCTAGACAAACCTGAGGGTTTTCAAAACTGATCCATCAAAGCCACTGTTACAAACCAAAAGCAGTAGTAACAGGCAACCACTGTGTGTAATTATGTTGATGAGCTGATAGGTATGAGGGTTCAGAGAACAGCACCCCAGGAGGCACAGGATTAGGAACTTCAAGAAAGGGGAAAGAAGGGCATGAAGTTCCCCATCTCAGGCTTTTCCTTCTATCGGCTTTTTTTTTTTTTTTGTCAGTTATGGGACTTGAACTCTGGGCCTGGGTGCTATCCCTCAGCTCTTCAGCTCAAGGCAATCGCTCTACCACTTAAGCCACAATGCCACTTCAGTTTTCTGGTGATTCATTGGAGATAAGAGTCTCATGGACTTTCCCTGCCTGGGCTGGCTTTGAACACAGTCCTCAGATCTCAGCCTCCTGAGTAGCTAGGATTACAGGTGTGAGCCACCTGTGCCCAGAAACTATTGTATTCTTAATATCCTACTTCTGGAAGCTGAGGGATGGTTCTGGATTCTGAGCCTCCTGCTTGTTAGGCAGGTGCTTACTGCTTGAGCCCTATCCCCACTCCGTTCTGTTTTGATTATTTTTTTAGGTATTTTCTCGTATTTCTACCCAGGACAACAGAGACTGTGATCTTCCTAGAGCCTCCTATTGTAGCTAGAACCACAGGCACATGCCCCTATATGCACTTATTAGTTGAGAGAGGGTCTACCTACCTTTTTTGCTTAGACTGGCCTCAAACTGTGGTTTTCCACATTTCTGCCTTCCTAGTAGCTGGGCCTAGATCCCTTAACCAGCTTCTCAGTTTTTTAATGGCCCATTTCATGTCATCTCCCACTGTCTTTTCCAAACTGAAGTAATTGTTCCATTTCCCCTATATATTCTTCTACACAGTTCATTTGATTAAGCTGGGATTCAGGTTGTTTTGTGCTTGCCCATATCGGCCACTACTTGTGGATTTGCCATTTGCCTTCCCAGTCCAAACACTCAGAACCATATCTGCAACCTGGAACCTATTCAATAAATGCTTGTTTAATGAAGGCCCAAACTCGGGATCAAATTCAGCAAGTGATGGAAGAAGCTCTTACGTGTGTTGGACTTATTTCTGCGCTTAGAGATTGAACCAATAAGCAGGTTCTTCACCCCTTAAAGATGAAAGGTTATCTTGCACCAAGCGCTTATAAACTACCAGCGCATGCTAAATATTCTAGACCATTATATCACTGAGTCCACGCAATTAAAAAAATCCCATGAAGTGCTCTTACTATTAGCATTCTGTATTCACAGATGGGAAAATTAAGGCTCAAGAAATTAAGTAATTTACCCCAAGATATCCAGCTGTTAAAGGTGGAGCTAGAACTCAAATACAGTGATCTCAGAACTTCAGAGTTAGAAGGAATCCTAGAATTACCTTTCTCACTTAAACTTTTTGAAGATGAGACTTGTAACTCACAGCCTGATACATAGCAAATCCTTGAAAATGATGATTAATGAGTTGATGGAGTCCCTTTGCTTTCCCTTTTTCTTTCTTTCTTTCTTTCTTTCTTTCTTTCTTTCTTTCTTTCTTTCTTTCTTTCTTTCTTTCTTCCTTTTTTGATCCAAGACTGGAACTTGAACTTGGTACCAGACATTTTTACTCATTGGCTCATGCTCTACCAACTGAGCCATGGCTCCAACCCAATTAATCCCTTAATTTCTCAGATTCTGGCCTTTGCTTGAGAGAACCCAGCTGCCACAAAAGAAAAAGAAAAAAAAAAGAAAGATACAGGCTCTATTCTTGCCTGCCCAACACCTCTCACAGGTGTGAATTGCTTGTATCATCTGAATTATTCATGACCCACACAATCACACAATGATAAGTGTGCTTACAAAGAAGCACAATTCCATCTTTTTCAAGACAAAGTACTGGATTAATTGGTTAACTAGGCAATACAAGCTCACAGGTCAGGTTGATTCACAAGAAATAATACTTCTGGGCCCATGTTCTGAATTTCAGCTTTCGTGCAATTTCCCTCCTCCCCATAGGATTAAAAAACCAGCAGTACTTAAAGCAGGAAAGAGAATCATCATAAGTATCCTTTCCTTACTTGCAAAGCAACTGCCAACCTCTGAATCTTATACTGTGCTACTGTAAACCAATGTATTTTTCCCAAAACTGAATTAGGATTCTCAATGACATTTCTTAAGCCTTATCAACATCTGAAAATTCTGATGCCACGGTATCTGTCATTTATGCCACCAGTAAATCACATGATAGTTTCGTTTCCTTGTCCTTTCTCCAAATTCTTCTTTCCCTTTGCCACCTCTCCCCCCCACCAGTTCATTGAGTAGGCAATTTTCTGAGATGGATAAGCATATGCCCATGTATTTTAAATTCAATGTTAGTCAACCAAAATGAATTGAAAAGCAGCAGCAGCAGTGGTTTGAGGGTACTAAAAATAAGCTGTAGCATTTGCTGAGTTCTCAGAATTAAAACCACCAGCGGTCAACTTGTTGCTGCTCTTAATAAGATGTGAGTGTTCGGGTCCCAATGGCTGCTTTGACCAGTAACTTAAACTATATCGAACACCTAACCAACACCTTTTTATATTATTATTAGACAGCAGTGACCAAAAACAGAAGTGTTATTTCCCTGGAACTAAACCCTGCCAGAAAAGATAGCACATGGCTTTCAAGTGGCCACCTTGTGACACCTACCTCTCTCACCTTGGTCAAATTCAACTTGCGTGTATAATTTAATTAGTCACACATCATAGACCGTGGCTCCCTTTAAGTCTTGTTTGCTGTCTCATGTCATGCAAATGCTATTTCTTCCTTGAAGCTTAATGTTTAGAAAATAATAAAAAATACAATAGGACATAATACAATAATCATATACTGAGCATTTCTATTAGGACTTCAAGGGCTTTCCTGACCCTTGAATACCATACACTACACTAAAATGTCTTATCTGCTACCCCTGCAAGGTTTGCCATTAAAGTTTTCAATGACCAGAGAGGTAGAGGAATTCTGCCTAATGCATCATTCTGATTAGAAACCTGTCATACTCAGAAACCGGTGGGGCTGCTTCTATTGATTCCTACTCCTTCGGATTCATTATCAATTTTCCCCCTCAAATTAGACTGGCTCCCCAACCATAGAAAAGCTGAAAGCAGCCTTCCTTTGGTTCAGCCACACTTAAAAGGGAAAACAAATGCATGCCTTGAAAGTAAAATTACAGAGTATTGTAAGGAAATGTCTAAAGAGCCACGTAGGAAAACCTCACACACAGATACGCGCGCACGCACGCGCGCGCACACACACACACACACACACACACACACTTGTAAACGTGCAAGAGTCAAAGACTAGGCTTGACCTCCCTTCTCCTAACCCACTTCAATCGGGACCAGAAGGGCAGGAGCAATCTTATTATTGCTATCTGAAACCCATGCCCCCAGCGAGTGTCTCCACAGAGCTAATTTCTGAAACAAACAAAGAAAACCAAGTCTGCAAGAAGCTAGGGTTTGCGTTCCCTCGGCTCTGGGTTTAGGGATCCAGGGTAACAGGCGTGCGGCACCACCGAATTTCGGGGCGCCCAGTGTTGCCCTGACCTTCCTCACCCGGCCGGGCTCAGCGCCAGCTGAGCCTGAAAGTGCAAGCCCACCTCGCTCACCCCGCTCACCCCGCTGCGCCCCAAGCCCCAGAACCCCCACGTCTGCACACCAAGGGCGCCACCGCTCTCCCACCTCTGCGCTGTCAGATGTCAGGCGCAGAGGTGCTGCGGACCCCCCAAGTGCTGGCAAACCAAACAAGTGTCACACCGGACGCCGGGCCCCGCTCCCAGCCAGCGTACGGGATGGCCACAGGTAGGCTCTCTCTCTCCATCCCGGAGAGCCAGACCCCGGCAGCAGCCCCGGCGCCCGACGGGCTGGAAAACTCACCAGAGGACACGGAGGAGCCGGACAGGCTGGAGTTGCTGGACGCTGCCATCTCCGTGCGCCCCGCGCGTCGCTGTTCGCTCAGCCTCGGTGCGGGCGCCGCGGTCCCTGCCCTCGCCCCGCAGCTCGCAGCCTCCGCGGCCCCCAGCCCATGGCAAAGTCCTGGGGACGCGCCGAAAGCACCAGCCTCCCGGACTCTGCCTGCACTTCCTGCTCCGCCAGATGACGCGCTACAGCCGCCGCTATTTATTTGTGGTTTCCGTCCCTCTCCGCGCCTTTACCCGCTTTTCTCCCGGTGTCGCGGGGTAGCTGGGGAGCCCTGGGTGGGGGGCTCCGGAGCTGCGGGATGGTGGCTCCGAGCCGGGCCCCACTGCCCTGCGCGCTTTCCAGTGCGCGGCTGGGACCCAGGGCGCCCGGGCGACCCTGCGCCGCCCCCACCAGGCTCCCCGGACCCTCCCCTGGGTTCCCGCCTCCTCGGCCGCGCTTGGAGCCGCGGGGGCAAAGGCGGCGGGAGACAGACAGACAGAGCGACCTCCCCTTTCTCTCTCCCCCCCCCCGCCCCACTCCGCCCCAACTCCGCTCCCGCGCACACAAAGGAAGGAGAGGAGACGCGGGCGATCGGGGGGCTGGTTCAGCTGCTGCGGGCTTGACAGCTCCTGAGACCCGGGGACTGGAGGGGGGTGGCTGCCGACTGCTGGGCGAGGATAGTCTGGCCGGGGAAAGGGTTTCCAGATACTAGAAAGACCACTAGGGAGTGGGGGAGTGGGGGTTGAGGAACCGAGCTTAGTTCTCAGGATCCAAAGCTGCTCCCAAATTTTACAGAGGATGGAGAGGGTTGGGGATGGGGGGGGGGGGCGGGTAGGGGAGAGAGAGAGGCACGGGCCGCGCCCCACTGGGCTCTGGAGCAGAGAAACAGCAGGGGTGGGGCATCCAGAGAGCAAAGCCTAGGCCACTAAATATACAGTACACAGTGCTAGGGAGAATGGGGTCCTGCAGGCCAGGCTGAGGAGTGCCCCCTTTTACTCCCCTCCAAATTGTCCTTTGTTGCTGGAGAGGGAGCTGCTGACCCCTGTCCCACACAAGGTGGAAGGAAATCGAGCTAAGCTTAAGTACCTCAGCCATGGACAGTGCCCAGCAACTCCCCTGGGCTTCTGAGGCCGGCCTTCAAAGCAATAGAGATGTTCCAAAGGTGGCATCTGGCCTGCACAAAGCAGGGTGTCAGAGGAAGGTTCTTCTTTGCCTAGGCCTTGCAGGAGCCTCACAAAAGGCAGAAGACTTGGCAGCAGGGCCTGTGTTCACCTTTCTGCTTAAGAAACCTCTCAGGTGTGGGAGAAAAAGTGATTGGAAGTACAAGGTGTGGACCTTCCTCCTGTATTTAAACCTAAATTAATTTCACTGGAAGGAAATATCGTGTAGGTATGTTTTTTAAGTCAGTTTCACGCTCCCAGCGGGGTGATCGGTTCTTTCAATCCTTGAAGCAACAGAAAACTGTGAAATTTGAACAGAAATTGTTAGATCAAAGGAAAAAGCAAACATTAAAGGGATGAAAGTACTCTCATTACATATCGCAAAATGGAAAGTGTTCACATTGGGGGTAGTTCAATTTTGGAAAACATGTTAAAAGGATATAGTCCATTAAAAAATTATCAGGAATGACACAGGAGTGGCAGCAGGTCTGGAGGTGTGGGGGTGGGGGGCGGGGCTCCATATCCGGCAAGCACCTAACACAGAGTGAATAATAAATGCTAAATAATCACAATATGCACTCATGTCACATTTTCTAGTTGATTTAAACTGTTGTGTGTGTTTTCTTAGAATTCTCTCCAGGATGCCAGCCCAGTGTGACTTCCCAATAAGGCCATGTTTTTTTTTTTTTCTTTTTAAATAATATGGCTTGCTAAAGATTTAAAAGCTTGTGAGCACTCTTAAGTCACACTAGACTATGTCTTCCTGGCTCTCATTTGTTTCGGCCTCAAACCAGCCCTGCCTGGTACAAGAAGATCCAGCACACACAATGTCCTCCACTCCCACCCATTATTCTTTTGTGTTTTCAAGGCAGCCTGAACACAGCCTCAACGGAGACCCTTCAGGGACAGGTACCCATCATGCCCTTGACCACCTCTCTGTCAGGATGGAACTTTCTTTCCCCCAAAGTCCTTTTGGTGGAAGGCAGCATTTTCCTTGTCTGATTAGTAATCTGTGTATTCCTCCAGTAGTGTCAACTAATAAAATTGTGATGGTATGGGACCAGACGGGCTTTGCAGAAGATAACACCTGATTCCTCTTCTGGTCTTGTTACTTGTTAGCTATGAGACCTTGAACAAATAAGACTCCCCGAGCCTCAGTTTCTCCAATTGCAACAGAAGTACAGAAAACGTAGATTAAACATGATAATGCATGCGTGGCCACAGTGTAACTGGAAGAAATCATTTGTATTCCACAAATGATTGTAAGTTGTTCACTTGATTGATGGAAGCTAAAGTTTGAACAATTTTATTTCCTCCTCTGTGCCTGAAGATAACTAATCAGAGTGACTTCTTCTACTGAAGAAAGACTTCCTCTTTAACCCAAAGTTTTTAAGTTTTGTCTTAAATTGAACCGTAGGTGATAGATTTAATTGTTTACTTCTGAAGTCTTGCAGAAAAATGTCAGCCCCGTTTTCTGCAGTTTGGACAATCGTATTGAAACTAAAATAGAAATGGATTGTTTTTAAAGATCCCAAATTGATAGATGAAGGGACAGAGAGACAACTTGTTATGAAAGCATCAATTCCACACCACCCTGTATTGTACAACAGTAGGGAAAGATGGAGATGCATATAGCAAGGCCCAGCCTGTAGTAAGAGATGACAGATGGTCACACAGAAGCCCATTATTTAGAAGAACAACATAAAGTTCCAGATTCTGAACTGAAATTTGAAAGTTGATGGATCATTTGGATTTGTTAAAGCATTACCAATGGAGAAAACTCTGCAGGCATAGTTGTTCACAATCATCTTTCTTCCATTCAGAATCCTAGGGATTCACAATTCCTCACAAAATATTTCTAGGTCATCAATTATCAGGCAGGGGCTGAAACAAAATGCTAACACACTACTGTAGGCTGAGGAACCTGCTGGTGGAACTTCTGAAGTATTCCTCCATATATAATAATAAAATTAATTCATTTCCTTTATTAATTCCTGTGGGGTTTATTTTATTCTCTTTTGTGGGGTTTTGTTGTTGTTTTGTTTTGTTTTTATGGGTGTGCTGGTACTGGTGCTTAATTCAGGGCCTGAGCATTCTTCCTTAGCTTTTTTGCTCAAGATTTGCACTGTACTACTTGATCCATATCTCCATAGTTTTGGGTAGTTATTTAGAGACAAACGTCTCAAGGATTTTTCTTTTTTCTTTTTTTTATTTTATTTTATTTGTGAACATACTGTACAGAGGGGTTACAATTACATGGGCAGGATAATGTGTACATTTCTTACCAAGCATTGCAGCCTCCTCCTTTGTTTACCCTTCACATCCTCAAGGATTTTTCTGACCAGGCTGTCTTTGAACCAAGATCCTCAGATCTCAGCCTCCTGAGTAGCTAAGATTACAGGTGTGATCCACCAATGCCCAGTTTAAACTAAGCTTTTTTTTTTCCTTTTGCCCTGAGCTTCTTAAAATTGGAAGCACTGATCTCTGCCTGGACCTTTCTTGCTTAGATGCTGTGGCATCTAAGAAAGGCCCTTTTCTGGTGAAACTTCTTGGAGTCCAAGGCAGAGGACTGCTAGCTTTCCAAGAAATATCTCCAGTTCTTCTGATCCCCATTGGTAGATCTCTGCTTTGTCTTTTTTGTTGTTTTCCACTTCTGTGCAGTCTTGTGGCTTGACTCCAGGGCCTGGGTAGTATCCCTATACCACAACTCCACTCCCAAATATTTTGTGTGTGGATAACTGGACTCTTGGATGAGTCTCCTATCCAGGCTGGCTTCAAACCACGATCCTCAGATTTCAGCTTCCCAAGTAGCTAGGAATACAGACCTTAGCTTGAGTGCCCAGCTTGTTCTTTCTTATTTTAATGATAATTTTGCTGCCCATTTTATCCCTGGGAGTTCAGCCCTTTTTCTCTGTCATGCTCTGTACACAATAGGTCATCAGTAGATATTTGCTGAATAAATGTTCTAAGGAACTAATGACTTCCTGAATGATTTTCACATATGCCCATTTTTTTACACTCCAATAGATGTGACCAATGAGCAACAAGACTAGCAACATGAGATACACAGCATAAAAGGAAGTTGATGGTGCTCTTGGCTCACGCTATTAATTCTAGCTACATAGGAGGTCAAGATCTGTGTTCAAAGCCAAACTGGGCAGGAAAGTCCCTGAACTCTTGTCTTTAATTAATCACCCAAAAGCTGAAAGCTGTGGTCCAAGTGGTAGAGTGCCAACCTTGAGTAAAAAAGCCAAGTGAGAGTGTGAGGTCCTGAGTTCAAATCACAATATTGGAACCAATAAATAAAATAAATAAATAAAGGAAGTGAATAGACAACCAAGAAGGCAGATAGGCCTCTCAGCACATCAGAACACTATCTTTACTGTGAACCTGAAGAACTGAATTGGAGAAAACAAAAGAATACGATTTTTTTTTTTTTGCCAGTCCTGGGGTTTGAACTCAGGGCCTGGGCACTGTTCCTGAGCTTCTTTTGCTCAAGGCTAGCACTCTACCTCTTGAGCCACAGAGCCACTTGTGGCTGCTTCTGTTTATGTGGTACTGAAGAATCAAACCCAGGGCTTGCATGCTAGGCAAGCACTCTACCACTAAGCCACATTCCCAGCCCAAGAAATACATTTTGATAGAGCAAATATTGATCATCCCCATCCTGTCCCCTATGCCCAACACCACCTGCTACAACTCAGGTAATTTATTGTTTACAGGGTAGCTCCTCCGTAACTGTAATTTGTTTATTTTGTTTTAGTGTTGCTTTAAAGTTTAAAAGTAGACAAGAACATACCTCGGGGAGAAAGTGTTGTGGTGCTTGGAACTATACTCTCTCAGGTATTTTGGAGTGTTTCTTAGTGAAGGTCATTCTCTTCCCCTGTGCTAACCACAGAATGAAATATTCCTTACTTTCAAGATTAATCCAATGGCCAGCATTCACAGGAGAATAGTGGAGTTATCTGTCAAGTAGCTTTAAATATTTTATGGCAAGTACTGTACTGTAGCCTGAAAGGTACCCTCTTGGCCATCAATTTCTCAATGTCAATATTCTCTTTGTCATTTGGAGAACTATTTCCCTTTCCAGATCAAGCCCTATTTCGAATACAAAGATACCTAGTTCTGTTTGAGAAAAGAAAAAAAAAAAAAAAGCCCCTGCAGAGGTAACATAAGGAGAACCAGAAGCTAAAAG